CAAGCCTCGAAGCCTGGCTTCAGATAGCCCATCACTATGGGATAGTCCTTAATGTGGCGAACTGAGGCTTAGTGCTTAGGCGCTGGTTTGGGATTACTTTTTATCAGTTTTTAGCAGAATCCCAAAACTCTCAGTAATATCAGTGGGTCCTTATCTTTTGTTGGGGGAGCAAACAGCTGTTAGCAGCTGTCGATACTTGAAGTCACAGTGTTAAAGTGACACACTTATTCCGACTGGGACAAAATGTACTCTTAAAGTGTTACTTTACACTGAAGCATTTACTGTGAAGACGTGTTTCTCTGAAGTCTTGGGCAGGTTTTGGTGTTTGTCCTGTCAGGGGTCTTTTCAGATCGAGGTCTGGTTGTTTGTTCTTTGCTCCAAGCATTTCCCAGTTGGGGCTTCTGGTCTGGTTATTATTGCCACTGGATGCAGCACCTTATTTCTCACTTCTGTTGGTTATTTGTCTTTCTGATGAGTTTGTATTTAAATCCAGCGGTGGGGTTATGTCCGTGCTTTGGAAGTAGTCACTGGCAGGGTTATAGAATAACCATAACCACTATTTACTACCACATTCACTTCCAGTCTGTGTTAATTTCCAAGACAGCCATCCTCCATAAAAGTCCTGTGGGGTTAAGGGAGGCATTGTTGCTGAAGTGGACATGTCCATCTCTGCGGTGTGATAAAAAAACAACTGTTTAAAAAGTAGAGTAGCTAGACAACATAACCCAAAATTTGAAGAACCCTAAGAATTTTTTGAAAAGCAGTAAATTCTTTATCTGGTGATAAGATAATCCTGTTTTATGAAAGATGCAAACATGCTAATAAAGCAAATATTCTAAATTATTTCAATGAGTATTTTGTTTGTCCAGGATCTCTATCTGAGTGGCTTTTAGCTCATCAATCAAACAGTCAGAGTCAATTTCCTTCACCTGTTGCTTATGCCAGGGTCCAGGGTTCGATCAGAACTGCAGCTGGATCAATTTAATCCTGCCGGCTCTGATTCTCTTCAGTCCTTCTGGTTGAGTTCTGCTTCTGATTTTTTTTACAGAACTTCTTAGTCGTATTTTAAATTGAACAACTTCTAAAAAATAACATTTGGATAATTTGTTAGTCAGCGTATGTTCTTCTCTCTTTATTTAGTTTTTTGTTCGGTTAAAGGATTTTATTTATCTGATGGGTCCCAACATAGGATGATTGAGGCACTGATGGGGTCAATCTAAGCAGAGGAGGGGTTGATTACTGTGACACTCATCTCCCACTGGCCAAAAACCAGTTTAAACGTGAGAACAATTGGCTTTCAGTAGCAGTGGGAACAGCTCACTGACCTGCAAGAAAATCTCCTGGACTCTGATCAACATGCTGTAGGAACAGCAGAGGCGGGTCGACCTGCTAAGTTACGTGACACCATTGAACCCAATGTACGGACGTCAACACACCAGTGATCTAAGAAGCAGAAACAATTCGGTTTCCATTGGATGAACATGGAGCAGCTCTGGTGAGAGCAATTCAGACAGATAATAGAGCGAAACAATAAAGCTCACTGACTCTGCCCTGGCTTCCTTCCACGTTGCTCTCCATTGTTTACTGGACAGATTTCCATCACACTGTCAATGAATGCTGACCCAGTGTGATGCCGTCATCAGACATGCAGTGGGGGGGACACAGGCCATGCAGCTGCCAGCGAGGGTTAGACTCTGCTTTTCAGTCAAGTGAGAAAAGAACCAAAAGCTGATTGTTAGCGACCTGGTTTTGAAAAAGCCGGGTTTTTAGTGGGAAAGAGTTGCATTTTAGAGGGAAAACAGGCCATGAATGCGTTTCCAACCAATCAGTCTCCTAAAACTGACTTTGAGAGGCAGAAACCTTAAACCTTAGAGCAGAAATATGTGTGTCTTCTTTTATATTGCCTGTTAAGGACTGTTACAGTATATTTATTAACCTTATGAGGACAAAGAGTTGGAGAGTTAATAGTGAATGAACTTTAGGCTAGGAAAATATTGGTAATAATGGTTATATATTCAGGTTAGGCATAAAATATGGGTAAAATACGGACAGGGGTGTTATTGTTTATGAGGGTATCAAGGATCTGTTAAACATTTTTATCTGCTTTGGACTTGTAACTGAATGCAATGACTGATAAAGACCTGTCCAGTCATGTAAGCTGCCTGGTGCCTTCTGGACCTCTGTCATAAATCAGCCATCACTTGGTTTATTAAGATCTGCTGTGTTGAGCATCATTTATTAGCTGAGGAAATGAAGGAAAACCAATGAAAGCCTGGTACTTCGCTTTGCAGAGCTCAGCCAGCTATGGTGCCAGCGGTCCATGAGCTAATGAAATTAGACTGTGTGCTCAGGTTCAGCAGTAAGGGAAGACTTGTGACTGCTGCCCAGAAGCTGTCTGTCAGGACGCTCTCATCTCAGACCACCACTACAGAGGACATTTAAGCTGGGACTCTGGATGGAGCTCCGCCTTCAAGCACATTCCACAGGTCCTTACCTGCCTCGCCGAGGCGATGTAGCATTCACTTATCCACCTATCCCTCCTTACACCGAGTCACAAGCTCCAGCAGTAATGTAGTGACAGATTACATCATTTTCCAGCCCTGAAACCATGGGTTGGCTGGATGCACATCACCATGGAAACCAGGAAATGTTTCTGTTCCCTGGGACAAATCTGACGAGTTCCTGACTCTGCAAGGAAACAGGAGGAGGACAGAAAACAGGCCATGCCAGTTCAGCTGTCATTTCAGCCTGTTTGCAACACACAATGCTCACTGGGAGCCAGTCAGGTCCAGTATGGAGAAAGGTGAGGTAAGCCTGCAGAGGGAAAGAAGGTCAGTATTCTATCCTGGTTTTAGCGCTCTCCCTTGCTTTGCACCTTTGTTTGAAGGAACCTGACGAAGCTCAGTTCCAAATCACTGACCCAAGTTCACCGTCTGCTTC